TTAATTATCTCTATAAAAGAACGTCCCTGTTTGCTTTCCATATTGTTAGTGGGAGGAGATGATGAGATTGCCTTCAGAACAAGAAAACAATACAGGACGATTTCAGGAAATTTGCTTGTGGGTTTTGCCTGTGTAAGTAACGCATCCAATTCAGAGGTCATGGATGTGTTGAGGAATTTACATCCAAGCTGATTTCTTTTTCAACGATGTGCTAGGAGCACAGACATAACAGGAAAGATGTTCCTTTTGTTTATTGCCCGCACGATGATGAAACCATTCTTAAGGTCAGAAGGAGAAACGGAAAGGCACCTAATGCTTGTAAAAGACAACTCTTCTGTCGAATCGCGAAGAGGTCAGCAAGCATTTTCTGCGAAGGGTCACATCGTAAAGCCTAAAGTCTCTGTTGCAACCAGCCAATGTGGTGATGATAGTGTGAAGGTGAGTAGGGACAATCTGAAAATGGACAGGCGAGGCTGTGTTGGTTCCTTCTTTGATTCCAGAAGCGGTCAGTGAAACCTGTGGACCATAGTTTGCTGATCTGATGTTTTGTTTTGTTGTGGTGTGCCATCAAGTTGCCTATACCTCATAACAACCCTATGTACAACAGCCCTAAACCCTGCTCTGTCCTGTGCCAACCTCCCTGTCTCTGACACACCCACCCCGATTACCCCAGTCAATCCACCTCATAGAGTCTTGCTCTCCTGTTCTGTCCCTTCACCCTTGAGCATGACATCCCTCTCCAAGGACTGGTCCCTCCTTGCAACATGTCCAAAGTACGTTAGACAGAGCTTCAGAATCCTTGCCTCCAAGGAGCAGCCTGTCTTCACCCTCTCCAAGATGAACCTGTCCGTTTTTTTAGCAGTCCGTGGAATATTCAATACTCTTCTCCAGCACCACAGTTCAAAGGCATCAATTCTCCTTCTGTCCTCCCTAGTCATTGTCCAGCTTTCTGATGCATAGCAAGTGATTGCGAAGACCATGGCCTGTATCAGACATACCTTAGTCTACAGAGTGACACCATTATTCTTCAGTACTTTGGAGAGGTCCCTAACAGCAGACTTTTCCATCACGATACATCTTTTTATTTCCTGGCTGCTGATGTCAAGAGTGTTGCCTGTAGAGTGAAGCAAAGTAAAGCTGTGAACAATCTCAATCTCTTTACCATCCATCCTGATGCTGCCAATTGGCCCAGTGGTGAGAATCTTTGTCTTCTTGATATTGAGCCTCAATCCATATTGAAGGCTACATTCCTTGACCTTCTGCAGCAAACACTTCAGGTCCTCCTCAGTCTCAGCAAGTAGGGTTGTATCTTAGTAAAACTTTTTTTTTTTTTTTTTACTTCTCTCCTGTGGGCATTTTCAAAATGGAGCGTTCTTTACTGTGGAAAGCTTGTTTTGGGCATTGTAGGATGTTTCACTTCATATTTGGGTGTCTATAGTTCCCTCTTCTTCACTTTTGATGACTCAGAATGTGTCCGGACAGTCCAGATGCCGCCCAGGCAACATGTTGTTGTTGTTGTTAGGTGCTGTCAAGTTGAGAACAACTCATACGACCCTGTGAACCCTGTCCTAACCTGTGCCAGCCTCACATTTTCTGACACACTCATGCGTATTGCTGCAGTCACTGTGCCAGCCCACCTGGTTGAGGGTCTTCCTCAGCTCCGCCATCCCTCCACCTTTCCAAACTTATCTTCTTCAAGGAACAACCTCTGCAAGCAACATGCCCAAAGTATGTGAGATGAAGCCTCACCATCCTTGCTTTCAAGGCGCACTCTGGCTGCACCTTCTCCAAAACATCTGTTTGTTCTTTTTGGCCGTCCGTGGGGTATTCAGTACTCTTCTCCAACACCATAGTTCAAAGGTGTCGATTCTTTTTCTGTCATCCTTATTCACTATCCAGTCCTCAGATGCATCGCAAGTGATTGAAAAGATTTGAGACCCACTATTCTAGATTAGTGAAATAATCTGATGAAGAAGTAAGGAAAACCCCCAAATTTCTCAGGTAGGGTAAGATGAGAAGACTAAATGGTAACAGCATCCTATTTGTTTCCTCAGAGGGCCTTTGTCATTTCTGTTAGGTTCTGTAAAGCCAGCTCTGACTCAGAGTGATCTGATGTACAACAGGGTGAAGCACTGCTCAGCCCTGCTCAGTCTCGCCATCGTCATAATCACCTCTGTGCTTGCGTCCATCAGCCCAGTCCCAGCGTCCGTCCATCTCTTTGATGGTCTTCCTCTTTCTCACTGACCCTCTACTTCACCTCGCATGATGTGCTTCTCCAGGGACTGGTCCTTCCTGATACCCTTCCAAAGTGTGCGAGACCAAGTCTCACCACATCTGCCTCCGCAGAACATGTTGTTGGGTGCCGTTAAGTGGGCTCTGACTCGTGGTCACCCCGCGTGACAAAGCAGGATCTAGGGTTCTCTGGATATCATCTTTACAGAAGCACCATTGTCAAGGCTTTGTCCTTCGAGGCTGCTGGGTGGCTTTGAACTGCCAGCCTTTTGTTCAAGAGCTGAGCACATAAGCATTTCACCTCCCAGGTTCCTTATGGAGTCATTATCATGGCCTAAGTTTGGAAAACCATCCCAGAATCAACTGTGAAGGGTAACCTACATGACAAGTGAGCGAGTCGAACGCGAGCTTAACCTACTTTGGAAGTAGGAAGAAGAAACAAAATAGTTCAGCACGTGGGAACATGCTGATGCCACTTTCCGAGTCGGAGGGGAGGGTTGGCTGTGAGTGGGAATGACCAGGGGAGGTGGGGAGGTGAGTAGTTCTAGTCCCACTTGGGGAAAAGCTCTCTGTACCCAGCTTATCTGAACCCAGAATTTACACAGGCACAATTAGTTTTGAAAACACATATTGTTTATAGTTTGGATAAGGCCAGCTTCATGTGTAATGGCAGCAACACGTGCTTTGGGAAGGTGAAAACCCACATCAGGTTCATAAGCAAATCGCAAGGAGGGTTGTCTTCTTGGCCTTCAAAGCAGACACATATTTTGCAAACTGGAAAGTAAGCACTAATGCTGGGAAATTGTTGGTTTATCATCAGGATCAACATACTAACGTAGTTGTATTTTTAATTATAGTTATATTTTATGATAATGTTCTATTTTTAATGATAGGAAAAGGTGTATACAACTTAACATGTTATTCAGAAAATCTTATTTTAAATAATGCCCAGTTTTATTGAGAATTTCAGAACTGAGTTTCCTTGTTGACTTGCAAAATGCCAGCAGTCCATTGAAGCTGTTTTCCTTCACTAAATTCATCTTTAGTTAAATACGGACCCACATACTACTTACAGTGGCCTAGTGGGTAGACAGTGGTGTGGCCACCTCAAAGGCAGCCGGCTGAAATCTGCCAGCTGCTTCTCGGGAAAGATGGGTACTCTTCTCCCGCCGCCATAGCCTCTGAAAACCTCACAGGGCCAGCTAGGAGTCTGTTCTAACTCAACAGCAATGACCTTGACTTAAATATCTGTTTTCTTTATTTTTTTAATAGAGATTTTAATGAAAGTTTATATAGAACTTGGATTTCCATTTATTCATTGTTGCACATTTTTCTCACTGCCTCCCTTCCCCCCCCCACCGCCCCCAGTTAGCTTTTTTCTTTGGGAAAAAAAAGTTTATTCATTGTTATACAGTCCCCTCCACCCCCACCCCCCAGACCACTTTACTATGCAGCTCTTTTTCTGGACTCTTGTTATGCCAATAATACCTAATCATATATTCCTTTTAGAAGAAGTGTAGTCTTTGTTCTTGCAAGAAGTGGTTCCCCTCACACCTGATTCTCTGGGGCCGTCACTGGCCCTCATGACCTGGGGCCACAGTGGACGCCCTCACTCCACTGGTTGCCTCGCTCCCTTGGTCCCAGCGCTACAAACCTGTCAGCTGACTCACTGACCTTGAAGGGGTTCCAAGTGATAGCAGCTTTACAGGACACACTAGGATCCCATAGAACTTTTGGGGATTTGGGTTTTTTTTTTTACAGAAAACTTAGCTTTCTATTCATTCGTTGTTGCACATTTTCAACTCCCTCCCCATCTCCCCTAGTTTGCTTTTCTCTTTAAAAAGATTCTTTCATTGTTGCACAATTTCCTCCCTCCTCCGCACCCCCCAGCCCCCAGTCCACTTTGCTGTGCACCTCTTACTCTGCATTGTTGTCATACAAATAATAGTAATTATATATTTCTTTTAGACAGTTCTTTCCCTCATCTATTTCAATGTAATGTTCATTATTTATCCCCTCCTTTCTTAGTTTCCCCCAACCCTCATGTCAATCCTGTTTTATAACAGTGGAATTATGCAGTATTTGTCCTTTTTGTGACTGAGATATTTCACTCAGCATATTGTCCTCCAGATCACCCATTTTGTATAATATTTTATGAGTTCTTTGTTTTTCAGTGCTGTGTAGTATTCCATTGTGTGAACATACCACAGCTTCTCTATCCATTCATTTGTTGATGAGTACTTGGGTTGCTTCCATCTCTTTGCTATTGTGAACAATACAGCAATAAACATGTGTGTGCATAAGGGGCTTTGGATTTTTATAGAAGCTGCACTTTTCTTCCACAGGGGACTGATGGCCTGAACCACTAGTCTTGTAGTTAGTAGCTGCTGGGTGCTTCAACCTCTGTGTCACTAGGGATCCTTCTTCCTTCATCATCTTCTCCAACATATATGTTTCTATTATCCTCCAATATTCTGTCTGTCTGTACCATGCTTTCAGTTGGTTCAGATAAGCATTAGACTACTAGCCAAAATGGTGACAGTTCTATCCCACCCAGAGGGACTTTGTAAGGCCAGCCCGGTGACCTTCTAGAAGGTCTCAGCCTGGAAACACAGTGGAACAGGTCTGCTCTCTAGGTGGGACCTTCACGGACTGTAATCGGTGCTGTAGAAACTAACCACCACCACCACCACCAGGTGCACGTCTGTCCTGTCCTGTGTGAGTGGTGGAGACATGTCTGATGGTGGCCCTTTTTCTCTGTGCCCCAGGTTACCACGGCCTCTACTGCGAGGAGGAATACAATGAATGTCTCTCAGCGCCCTGCCTGAACGCTGCCACCTGCCGGGACCTTGTGAACGGCTACGAGTGCGTGTGCCTGCCGGAGTACAAAGGTGGGTGAGGGCTGTGCATGTGTCTGCGTGTGTACAAAGGTGGGTCAGGGCTGTGCGTGTGTCTGCGTGAGTGCAAAGGTGGGTGAGGGCTGTGCATGTGTCTGCGTGTGTACAAAGGTGGGTGAGGGCTGTGTGTGTGTCTGTGTGAGTACAAAGATGGATGAGGGCTGTGCGTGTGTCTGCGTGTGTACCAAGGTGGGTGAGGGCTGTGCATGTGTCTGCATGTGTACCAAGGTGGGTGAGGGCTCTGTGTGTGTCTGTGTGTGTACAAAGGTGGGTGAGGGCTGTGCGTGTGTGTCTGTACCAAGGTGGGTGAGGGCTGTGTGTGTATCTGCGTGTGTACCAAGGTAGGTGAGGGCTGTGCGTGTGTGTCTGTACCAAGGTGGGTGAGGGCTGTGTGTGTATCTGCGTGTGTACCAAGGTAGGTGAGGGCTGTGCGTGTGTCTGTGTATGTACCAAGGTGGGTGAGCACTGTGCGTGTGTCTGCATGAGTGCAAAGGTGGGTGAGGGCTGTGTGTGTGTCTGCGTGTGTACAAAGGTGGGTCAGGGCTGTGCGTGTGTCTGCGTGAGTGCAAAGGTGGGTGAGGGCTGTGTGTGTGTTTGTGTGAGTACAAAGGTGGGTGAAGCCATGTGCTTCTGGGGCCTAGGGGCTTTAGATGACATCATCCTTGTCCAATTTAGTGCACTCACCTCTCTTTGGAGCACGAAGCTATTTAGAATAAGAACCAAATGCTGACTGTGAGATGAGTTATGGGGCCAAATGGAACATTTTCTGTGGTTTCCCCCAGATGAGTGGAAAAAACTTTCTCTTGTGCCCCTCTCCTCTTCTGTTGGACCCTTGTCCCTGCAGAATGTGTGTGGAGCCCTGGATAAGAACGTGATTACGTGGGTTGGCTGAGAGAGGTTGGGCGCATGATTGTGCAAAGGTTCATGTTGCACGGAGGTGGCTCTGGACCTTTCCACAGGGAATGCAGGTGGATATGCACATATTGACGCATGAGCAGGGAATGCAGGTGGATATGCACATATTGACACATGAGTTTATTCCCACCAAGCTAGTCATTCGGAAGGTAAGTGTTAATTCTTCTGTGCGGACGTGTGTCAGTGTCACTCTGGAAAACAGCCAGCGTTGACAGAGTGTTTGCTGCTCTCAGCCTGCAGCCGCACTGACTCACCAGACTCAATTAGGAATCCTCGCAGCATCCACCTGAGCTAGAGGGCAAGATTATCCCTCACGGGCTCTACCAGTGTCGTTCCCGAAGCCTCTCACGCTGCCTCCCTGTTGGACACTGGCACCCTTTGTGGACAGTGTGACCTCACTTAAAACTGCCCTGTGCAGACCAACCACTTTATCAGCTGTCAAGCACATTGTCATTAAGCCTTAACTTCGGGGCTGAGGACATATTTTTCTAATCACTCATGGGCTCCATTTATAGCCATTTTACCCCCTTCTGGCTCCCATCCCTGTCCTGATTCTATCCGTTCTCCAAACACACCAATATGCCTGGTGACCTTTGTGTTTCAATGGTTCTGGCTTCTCTTTCAACGGACCCACCTTTCTGTAGGGATTAATTGGTGACCTTCAAGGGTTTGTTGGTAAAATATGGATTTGTTCAGCCCCTGGTGGGGGGAGGAATGAGACTGGGCCAAGTTGTTGGTGTATGATCAGCTTTTCTGAGTAATACACCCACTTAGAATTTGACTCTCTGAACTTCTAGAGGGGAATATGTCCTGACTCCATTCACATGGCTTCCAGTTCTAGGTCTACCAGAGCATCAGGGAAAAAAGGAGGGCAGCTCAATTCTGGAAAGAATCTATAGGGAGACTGATTCACATGACCAACGTCTAATTGTGAGCACACTTTAACTCTATGAAGGGAGCTCTGTTGGCCTAGTCCATAGGGAGATGAGCTGCTGTCCCAAAGGTCACACCTCCCAGATCAAATCCACCAGCAGCTCCTCAGAGGAAAGATGGGCAGTTGCTTGTGTAATCTGTGCTTCTAAAAACCCCCTGCAGGGTTGGCTGTGAGTCTGTTCCCACTTCGTGGCACTGAGTTGAGTGAAGGGGAGGGGAGAACCCCAAGCCACCAAAGCTCACTGTTGCGTGTGATGACTCATTCTTGTCTCAAGTTCAAGACTATGGTCTTAGCCTTCATCACCTCCTTTTATTCCTATTGATGAATATTCCAAAATGTTGCCAGGTTCACCAAGACTTGTACTGAACTATTCAATCATAGACCATAACTAACTTCATGCTCCGTTTCATGAGGAAAAAAAAGAGAGGTTATCATCTGTGGCCATGTACTTCCGATTTTGCAGATTTGGTTCCAAACCACTACAAATAGTAAGCACTGCAAGAAAATGATTCACATAAAGTTTTTGGTTTCCCCGTGCGTTGGCAAAGTTCAGTTTTTGCCACCCTGAAGCCTAATGAGTGTGCATGGTGAAGGAGTTTGAAATATTGTAAGACTTTCGAAGATGCTACAGCCAAGAAGTGCCTGTGGGAGACAGTGCTCTTGTGCTGGGTTGCCACACATCTTACATTTGTAAGAAAACGCAGTGTCTGAAGTGCAATACAGCAAAGTGCAATATAACACAATATGACTGTAACTACCTGATGCTTGTGAGCCGATGGTGTAGTCTATAGCAAGGTGAGCGCCTAATGGGAAGACCGTTCTTCTCCAGCTCTTTGAATCCATGAATGGCTCCATCTGCGAAAAATATGCAATTTCCTGTCATTACGATTTACAGCCTCAGAAACCCAATGGAAGGTCATTTGTGAGTCGGATCCAACTTTTGGCAGAGTTTAGGATTGTGAGGTGAATAAAGACTTCTTGTCTTATGAGCTGAAGAAAGACTCGAATCTTCAAATGGAACCGGCATAAGGAGTGTCAAAGGGTGAATGAGAGAGATGGTAGATAGCCCGGTACTTCCTGGTATGATTTTCAAATCCAGTAATGGAGAGAATTTTACCTGCTAATTTCTTCACAGCGGGCACAGGTTAGATACTACAGGGAGTCACATCAGCTTTGTGCTGCTTCTTTATTACATTGGATGCTCCATGACAGCTGAATAGTGTTCAACCTTTCAAGCCAAAGGAGTTATAATTTAAGGGATCATTTACAGAGAGACACCGTTGCTCTTGAGTACTTTAGAGAGGTCCCTAACCGCAGACTTTCCCATTGCAATACGTTTTGTTTTTTTTAGTTTTTTTTATTTCCTGGCTACCGATGCCAAGAATGTTGACTGTGGAGCTGAGCAAGCTGAAGCTGTGAACAATCTCAATCTCTTCACCATCCATCCTGATGCTACCGATTGGTCCAGTGGTGAGAATCTTTGTCTTCTTGACATTGAGCTTCAGTCCAAACTGAAGGCTGCAGTCCTTGACCCTCTCAAGACACTAAAGAGCTGAACAGAAGATTCCAAAAGGCAGCTCGGAATGACAAAGCAAAATATTACAATGAAATGTGCAAGTAGCTAGAGTCAAAAAATCAAAAGGGCAGAACTCGTTCAGCATTTCTTAAGCTCAAGGAACTGAAGAACAAATTCAAACCTCGAGTTTATCTGTTAATGTAAAAAAAAAAACTTAACACAAACTTAGTGGCTTAAAAACAGTGTTTATTTTCTGATCATTTCTGTCTGTCTGAAGTTCAAGCACTGGCTAGCGGGCTTTCCTGCTTAAGTTCCTAAGGCTGATGGCAGTGTTGGCTGGGCTGTGCTCTCAGCGGAAAGCTCCCTTAGGGAAGGAGCTGATCCGCGTCCTCGGAGCTTACTGACTGAATTCCATTCCGGGAGGCTGTAGAATTCCTGGACGTGTTCATCTTCAAGTCCAGCGAAAAGGACTGAGAGACTTTGCTGCTTCAAGTCTTCAGCTTCAGGGAAAGCCTGGTCCCTCTCAGAGGGGTCACCTGATTAGATCCCATCGAAGGTTATTTCCCTTCTGACTGATTCAAAATCATCTGACTTGAGACTTTCATTTCACCTATTAAAAAGTCTTTACATTGGCCTTTTTTTTATGAGAAATCCACACTTGAGTGGATGACACAAGAGTAGGACTCACTGAATAGGGGAGAGTCAGTCTAAGGCCTATAGCTGCATTTGCTCTTCAAGGAAAACTTAAAACAAAACAAAACCCCACAAAAACCTAGAATTAAAGTTTTGTGTTGTTTTAACAAAACAACCCAAAAGTGAGTTAGAGGAGCGGATGGAGGGTGGAAAGATAGGAAAACATATACACGTGCATTCAAGGTCTCATCCCAGGAGAAGGCAAAGTATTAGTTGTTGGTATGTTGATAAAGATGATTGTTGTTAAGTGCTTTTAAGTTGAGTTCAACCCATAGCGACCCTGTGAACAACAGATCTGAACCCTGTCCTATCCTGTGCCATCCTCACAACTTCCGACACACGGGACCCCATTGTGGCAGTCACGGTGTAAATCCACCTGGTTGAGAGTCTTCCTCTACTTCGCTGACCCTCCATCATGTCCTTTACCAAGGAATAGCCCCTCCGGGCAACATACCTGAAGGATGTGAGACGACACTTAAGTTTAACTTTATACAGAGTTGCTAAAACCAGGAAGGAAAAAAAGCTCTGGAAAAGCAGCAATAAATGCTAAAGTGATGGGGGGAGGGGTGTCAGAAGGAAGGGAGGAAGTGAGAAGGGATGAGACAGAAGCAGCCTTGTATCTTGCTTGTTGAGTTTCTTCTCCCCAGTTCAGAGAGTGGGGTGCCACTTAAAGATCTCTGTGGGATTCTAATTGTACCTAAGGCACGGTCTGTATCCAAACAGATCACCTGGGGGTCTTGTTAAGCTGTAGATTCTGATTCAGTGTTATCTGTGGTGAAAAGACAAATTCTCAGCAGGGTCAAAACAGAATGAATCGGCCTGAAGCCCTGGCTAAAAATGTATAACTTTCATGTTTCAGAATATTAATTATGGCTAAATTGTGTTGGGTGGCCATGAAGATGTATAATTAACACACTACCCTGGATTTTTGCTCACTTTAATTCTAAAAATAATTCCTGGAAAAGCCTGGCTGCGCTGGGAATCTTTTCATAAACGTGGCTTCTCCATCCCTTAATATGAAAAGTATGAATTTTTATTAGTTTTGACTAAATGGAAGTGTATTTTTGCTCGAGACTAAACATAGGTTTGGTAATCGTGCGTGCCGCGCCTTTTGCCAATGGGTGATGCATGTGTCATTGCAGACTGACTTTGAAGTGTAGGCTTGGTCCCCTAACAAAATAGGGTGTTTGGAAGGGAGCTCTGGAGCGGCGCCTGCCTTCTCAGGCGGCCTCAGCTCGAAGTCAGCCAGAGCTCACTGGCTCTTACCCCTCTCATCTTACAGCCATCATTTCTTCCACATGTGAAGATGCGGCCTTTGCTCTAAAAGACCTCCGAGATCCACGGGGAATCAATCAGACGGGGGAACAGAGAAAACCAAGAAGTTAAAATCCAGCACCGTGAGCTCTAGAAAAATAGGAACCCCACTGCACTCAGTGCACGTTGGTGGAAGATTCCAGTTCTGTGTGGGGCGAGTCAGGCTCAACTTTCCAGAGAAAAGATATTTGAGCTACACTATTGTGTTTGGTTGTTTGTTTTTTTTTTAAATTATACTAGTTTATTTACAAAATTCAGATACATGGTTTTCCAGACCAGATTCTTCCAATTTCCCTCACCCCCCCCATCGAATTGTACAACCTCATGATTAATCCCCCCTACCCCAGCTGTAAATTTTTTTTGTTAAATGAGAGAAATTATTCTTTTATACTTTTGGAGGCCAGAGATCTGAATTCAAAGTGTCAGCAAAGCCTTGGTTTTAGAAGCCTCTTGAAGGAGATTCTTCTTTGCCTTTCCCACTCTGGGCACTGCCACAGTCTTTGGCTTTCACTGGGTGGTGGATGCATCACCCCAGCGTCCATCTCCCTCTTTGCATGGGCTCCTCCTCCTGTGTCAGCTTGTGCCTCTTCTCTTCCTAGGATAGCAGCCATGCAGGATTTCAGCTCTACCATAGCTCCGTACAGATTCAACTTAACTACTCACATTGGCAAAGACTCTACCATGAGGGTCAGTGTTCTTGACAGAGGACACAGAATGCCCAGGACTCGGTGCTCGGAGCCCTTGTGACTGGGAAGGGGAGGAAGAGGTGGAGCTCTGAGCCCTAAAGAGAAGTGTCTGAGTTACAGAGACTGGTTTGCCTGTCTGTGCACTCTCTATATGGAAGCCCCCGGCTCAGAGCTGTTCAGCACTAACGGACAAGCTGAGCTGCATGACAAATACTGTTGTACAGGGATTAGCAAGGTTTAGAGTATAGAAATGAGAGTAGTCCAAGTGCTCACTGGGGAATTTTCAAGAATGTCTTGCATCATATAATTGTGTTTTTGTGAAGATTAGCTTTAGTCCAGTCTGTGTTACAAGAAGATCCCTGAGGGATGCTCGAGTGACTGGATGGTTTTTACCTTTTGAATCAGAGGATAACAATTCTTGTACCAAAAAGCCCCCAGCAGATTCAGATCTGCTTATTATCTTGAGTATTTTGATCAAATCTTATCTTACTGAAGATTTGAAAGTACAGGGACTTAAATGCTTAGCCTGGACTTTGCTTTTCAGCCTTATTGGGAAATGTGGTAATTGGTATGCTGGTAAGATTATGTTTTATTATCTAGGCTAGATTGGCTAATATAGGTCTATAAAATCAATAAAGATCATCTTCGAGCGCTCTTACTTTATGTCCAATAGACTCTATTTTTACCTTCAGATGTCTTTAAACATTCACCATCCTTCTATCTCCCAGGAGAATCAGAAGCCTTTTTATGTTGCGTAATTCTCATTGATCAGTCTCAGCGGAACTTGTAAATATATAAATGCTTGCTCTTCAGAGAAACACTTTGAAGTGAAAAAGGCGAGGCTGTATTTCACTATTTCATTTGAGTCCATTTTACATGGAAGCAAATGAAGAAAATAGAAATAGAGACTTCTCAGAGAAGATGCGTGGTCAGTCAGGATTCTCCAGAGAAAAAGAACCTCTCTCCGTGTGTGTGTGTGTGTGTGTGTGTGTGTGCGCGCGCGCGCGCGCACACGCACACACATGCTTCTCTCCATACACACATAGAAGCACACACATAAATACAAGCAAAATACACACACACACACACACACACACACACAGAAATACCAATGAACTCATTGCCACTGAGTTGGAATGGGCTCATAGCTGACCCTCTAGTCAGTTTGCAGAGGCTAGAAATCTAACCAGAGGAGATTGCCCATCTTTCTTGCTTTGAGCAGCTGGTGGATTTGAACTGGCAGAGAGGAGCTACCTTTAGTTTATTAGCACAGCTTCCTACAGATCACTCTGCAGAACTCCTTTTATATAAATATGTTTCTGTTATGTGCCATCGAGTCACTTGCGACTCATAGCGACCCTGTGTACAAGAGCCCTAAACGCCGTTCTATCCTGTGCCAACCTTGCTGTCTCAAACACACTTATTCCCACCACTCCACTCACAGAATCGATCCATCTCATCGAGGGTCTTCCTTTCCTGTGCCATCCCTTCACTCTCCCAAACATGATGTCCCTCTCCAAGGACCAGTCCCTCCTTGCAACATGCCCAAAGTATGTCAGACGAAGCTTCAGAATCCTTGACTCCAAGGAGCACTCTGGCTTCACCCTTTCCAGGACAAACCTGTTTGTTCTCCCAGCAGTCCATGGTATATTCAACACTCTTCTCCAGCACCACACTATCCAGTTCTCTGACGCATAGCTCACAATTATAAAGAGTATGGCCTGTATCAGGCTCACCTTAGTCTCTAGCCTGACATCATTACTCTTCAGTACTCTAGAGAGGTCCCTGACAGCTGACTTTCCCAATGCAATTCATGTCCTGATTTCCTGGCTGCTGGTACCAAGAGTGTTGACTGTGGAGCCAAGCAAACTAACCATGTGGATACATGGGCATAGGGCGTAGCTTATTCAGTTTTGCTTTGTGGATACTGAGTTTGGGTTTTGGTGTGGATTTTTGTTGGCCTTATTTTTCCCCCCAGATTGAAAGTTTATGTCAACTCTTCATGGAGTAAGTCTACTGATATTATTTTTTTTTCCTCTTTAATAGAATGTGTTCACTTTGTGTTACATTTTGGGTTCTTAAAATATTTCAGACTTTTCCATAATACTTCTGTATACTTGACAGGTAACAGTATAGTGTAAATGAATTTTGATATGCACTGGGAAATAAAAAATTCATGTCACTTACTTTATTGTAATATTCTCTGTATTGAAGACAGTGCCTAATAGACTGTTTCACTATTTTCTATGGAAGTAGGTATTTTCGTTCAGCTCCTTACAGTTCCATGATCTTAAACACTTTGCTTTAGTTACTTCTCTGCGAATGGGAGAATAAGGTAGTTATTATCTCAATGCAATTTTGTGGGAATTAAATCAGACACCAAGCTGGGGTTGGGGATGTCCATGGCCTGGGTCAGCTTCAGGACAGGCTGCATTTGGTAGACTGAGCGGGTCTTTGAGGAGGAGAGCCCCGTGTCCTGCAGTTTTCTCTCTCTCCCACAGTTCCCTCAAACTCAAACGTATTGCCATCCAGTCAGTTTGGACTTCTGGCGACCCACCCTCAGATTTCAGGGGCTGTGCATATTTATAGGTGGCGCCTGGCCATCTGTCTCCCGTGGAGTGGCTGCTGGATCCCTTCTGTTGACCTTTCAGTTAGCAGCCCCATATATTTGGAGATTTTAATCCACTTAAAGCAACTTCTTCTTAAATACAAGCACATTTCCATCCAAAGTTCTGTGTAGAGGCTCATGAAAATATCTCCCTCCAAATCTTCACCTTGAGGACTCTGCTTATCATTTTATTAAGCTATTTGGCTATTTTCTGTTGGTTTTTTTTTCTCAAAACTTAAGAAAGGATTTGTCTCTGAGGATGTTTATTTTAGGAACCCTGATGGCACAGAAGGTAAGGACTTGAACTCCCAGCCACTTGGAAAGGAAAAAACGTGGCCATCCACTTCCCTAAATATTAGAGCCCTGGAAGCTCTAGGGGGCAGATCTGGTCCCTCGTGTGGGCTGGCTGCAAACCTGAATCGACATGATGGCAGTGCGTTAATGTGTATAATTCAGGCCTTGAACGGTCTATGTTGCAGGTTTTGAGGAACATGGTCAGAAGATCAGGTTACCAGCCTTCGAGTGGGATGCATGAGCAAGGGTGGACTTTGTTAATTTCTCATAGTGTGTGTCTGTAAGGCAATCTGAAGTCAGTAGTGGACACATGCACACGTGTGTGTGCCCGCGCACACCTGCTCCTCCTCCACATCTCCTGTTGTTCAAACACTTGCCCTCCAAGCCTGCAGGGCCTGCAGAGTCCCAGATGAGCCAGCCTTCTGTGATTGTGTCTCCGCAGGTGTCCACTGTGAGCTGTACCGGGATCCCTGTGCCAATGTCAGCTGTCTGAATGGAGGTACCTGTGACAGTGAAGGGCTCAACGGCACATGCGTGTGTGCACCAGGCTTTGCAGGTAAGTGAAGGGCCAGCCTCGCTTCCTTGCTTACCGCCAGATCCCCAGGATTGCATATGTCGGGGGGTGGGGTGCAGGGAGAACCTATCCCCTTGTGCATAAGTGATTGCAAAATACCAATGTCATTGCAAAATTCAACTAGGCAATGCTAAGGTGAAAACCCAATTCAAGACAATCGGCTGTGTTCTTGTTCAATTCCGTTTTTCCAAAGTCAGCATTTGGTACTTGAACTTACAGAGACAGGTTTTTCCAGATCTGGAGCTTTGAGGCTTGATGAAGAAGTCACTGTGTGAATACCTGAGAGAGGTCAAACGTTAGTGAAAGGAAGAACTGAAGTCAAAGCAAGCTCGCCTGTGGTCTGGTCAGTTCTGACACATAGCGGCTCTCCAGCACAGAACGGAACTCCTCGCAGGCTTGTTGAGGCTGTAAATCTTTATGGAAGCCAAGTGCTTGATTGTTCTCCTGCCCTGCAGCTAGCTATTGGGTTTGAACCACCGACCTTTTGGTTAGCAGCCCAATTTCTGTACAATAATAGATCAGAAAGTTTCCTGATCTTGTGTCATCTTCTTGATTGTTGATATGCCACAGTCTGTGGTGGACAGGTTTCATCAGAGCTCCCAGATTAAGACAGACTAGGAAGCAGGACTTTCCAGTAGCCAGGAAATTAAAAGGCACATTGCCATGGGAAAGTCTGCTGTTAGGGACCTCTCCAAAGTACTGAAGAGCAATGATGTCTCCCTGGAGACTAAGGTGCGTTTGATACAGGCCATGGTCTTCACAGTCACTTGTTATGCATCAGAGAGTTGGACAATGACCAAGAAGGATAGAAGGAGAATTGATGTCTTTGAGCTGTGGTGCTGGAGAAGAGTATTGAGAATACCATGGACTGCTAGGAAAACAAACAGATTTGTCCTGGAAAGGGTTAAACTGGGTGGCTCCTTGGAGGCAAGGATTCTGAAGCTCTGTCTAACATACTTTGGACATGTTGTGAGGAGAGACCGGTCCTTGGAGAAGGACATCATGCTTGGGAGGGTGGAGGGACGGCGCAGGAGGGGAAGGCCCTCTATGAGGTGGATTGATTCAGTGACTGGGATAATCAGGATGGGAGTGTCAGAGACAGTGCGATTGGCACAGGATAGAGCACGGTTTAGGGCTGTTGTACATAGGGTCGCTATGAGTCGCAAGTGACTCGACGGCACATAACAACAACAACAAGGAAGCAGGATTGACCATCTATTTCTGAAATAGTAGGCCTCCGAAAACCCTATGAACAATAGAGCAACACGGCTGGCTGTCATATGAGAGGTGAATCCCAGATAGGAAGTCAGTCAAAATGAGGAGAAACAGTGGCAAGCATCTTCCCCTCCATTTTTTAAATTTTATATTTGTTCCCATACAAATATGTACACATTGTGTTTCATACTCTCCTTCATTCACATTGTTTCATACAATCATTCCCATACATTGTGGGGTTTTAAAATTTTTTTTCTCACTAGTTTATTTACAAAATCTTAATACAAATTTGAATAAATTAAGTTTCCCTCACCCCCCACCACCCAACAAATTGTACAACCCAATGATAATCCCCCTTCCCCCTGCACATCCACATCCCTCTGCTTCCAGCCTCTCCCACCCCTCCTGGATTCTTATGCTCATTCTGCAATAATGGCATAATGCTCTCCAGTCCCTCCCAAGTTAGGTAATAATTGACAAAGTTATTGCTCCTGCGTGCTGCATAGTATTCCATTGAGTGAATGTACCATAAATTCTCATCTATGCATCTGTGTTTAGCCATTTGGTCTGTTTCCATGTTCTTGTGATGGTGAATAATGCTGCTATGAACATTGGTGTACAATCTCAGTTTGTGCCTCAGTTCTCATATTCTCAGGGTATATTCCAAGTAGTGGAATAGCTGGGTCGAATGGAATTTCTATGTTCAGCTTTTTGAGGAAGCGCCAAACAGCCTTCCAGAACGGTTGCACCATTTTACAGTCCCAGCAACAATGTATAAGACTTCCTTTCTTGCCACATCCTCTCCAACATTTATTACTTTTTGCCCTTTTAAACTTTGCCACTGTTACTGAAGTGGGATGGTACCTCATTGTGGTTTTGATTTGCGTCTCTCTTCTTGCCAGTGATTTAGAGCATTTCTTCATGTGTCTGTTTGCAAACATCTTTTGACTCCCTCTATGGGTTTCAGTATTCTGGACGTGGTAAGAATGTCACAGGATAAGACAGGGCTCATATTTGGTGTTTCTAGGGTTACTGTAAGTTGTACTGGACTCGAGGGCACCTAATGACAGTATTTTTGCAGTCATCGTGTGTTTTGAATGCCTTCCCGCCCGAAGCTCCTCTTCCAGTGCTGCAATCAGACCACTCTCTTGTGACTGTTCAGCGTTTCATTGGCTGGGGTTTGGAAATGCATCACCAGGGCTTTCATTCTTGTCTGTGTTAGTCTGAAAGCTCTTCTGAAGCCTGACCACCATGAGTGACCCTGCTGGTATTTGAAATATCGTTGCTATGACTTCCAGCCTCAAAGCAACATGTGATTGTGGTATGACAAAGCGACAGTTGAATGATGGGCAGATGCTGTTGGCATGGGGAGTTGAGAGCCGGAGGTTTGAGAGACTGTCCCAGGGCAGAGCAGGCTGAGAGAGGATCTGGAATCATCCAGTGTTCTAGTTAATGACTAGGGCTGCCATCTGAAACAGAATAGGAGGATTCACTCTAGACTAGGGGACCCCATCTAAGAAAGCTTAATCTAGGCCCTTCTTCAAAATCACCCCTTGTGGGAATCGAAGAGTGTGTGAATCCCTAAAAACAGACAAGAAAGTGTTTCCCTATGTTCATACGCTGAGTTGTCATTGTAGATTCGTCTAGTTAGCTCTGATTCATAATGACCCACCCTCACAGTCACGGCTGGGTTTGAACCCACTATCGCAGCCACTCGTTCCATCCAGCCTCTTCTCGAGGGCCTTCTTCCTTTTTGCTGACCCCATATTTCCCCAAGGACTGGTCTCTCCTGACAACATTTCTGACGTACCTGAGATGAAATCTTGCCATACTCACCTCTAACGAGCATATCACTGCTGCTGCTATTGTTGATAGGTGCCATCGAGTCAAGGACAACTCTGAACGAATGACTCGAACCTGGAATGGTCAAGTCCATTCTGACACATGGCGATCCCGTGGGGCAGAGTAGAATGGACAGAGATGGGTTTTCTTGGCTATCATCTTTGTGGACGTAGAACACCAAGTGTTTATCTCCTGGGTTATTGGGAGGATCCCCTTCTTACACACTGACCAAGTCTTTCTCCAGGATCTGGCCCCTTCTGATAACAAATCCAAAGTATGTGGGACAAAGTCATCCCATTCTTGCTTCTAAGGAGCACTGTGCATGTACTCCCAAGACAGATTGGCTTGTCTTTTTGGCGGATCCGATAGACACAGTATCTTCGCAAACACTGAGATTCAAGGGCATCAGTTATCCTTTGGTCTTCCTTATTCATTGTTTAGCTGTTACACGCATATGAGATGACTGAATAGACTGTGTCTTGCTGAGAGGTCTTAACCTTTCATCAGCTTCTCAAAGGGATCTATGAGCCGTTGGGGCAGAAAATGTTTCATCTTCTGTTTTGGAACAGAACTATGTTAAGCCAGTTGCCGTTGAGTCAGTTCTGCCTCCTGCCGACGCCCGTGTGTCAGGGTAGAACTGCTCCCATAGAGTTCTCAGTGGCTGAATATTTGAAGCCAGTCGCCAGGGCTCTGCTGAGGATGTCCAGGTGGACTCCGGCCTGAAGCTTTGCGATAGTAAGTACAGTACATTTGGCATTGGCACGACCAGAACTCTTAGCAGAGCCCTCCCCTCAAATATAAGCAAAAATCCTGCAGAGAATGAGTTTATTCTGACTCACAGTGACCGCTAGATGGGTCTGAGGCTGTGATTTTTGCAGAAGGAGACTGTTTTCACCTCTCCCCATGAGAATGGTTGGTCGAGTCTAACTGCTCATGAGCTGCTTAGCAATTCAAGACACTGCACCACTAGGACTCCACTGACAGAATCCAGGAGTCCTGAAATTGAGAGGATAGTACAAGGTGCATGTGTTCAGAGCTTTCTCAAACCATTCAAAGTATAAGGGTCCCTCTGATGACTGCAGAGGCAAAGAGTGTTCCCAGCTAAGCCGTTTGTTCATCCTACTCCTGAAGAATGTCCCCATCCCTGGGGAGCCCCAGCTGTGCCCATGGGAGTATAATATAGTCAAGATCTGAGAGAAGCGACTTCTTCCTTCTCACACATCCCTTCCTCTTATCTTCTTTATCGCCGCCACAGCGTTCATTGGGGTTTCCCTGGGATTCAGTGCGGAAAATGACTTGCAGATGGTTTTGTTGTGTGGAACGGTTCATAAATACACACGCACACGACTAGATTTATACCATCAGTGATTCCACATAATACTAGGGAAGCATCCTAGTCTTGTGTTTTCTTTTTCCTTCTCCAGACGTTTTTTATTCCACAGATAATAAAAGTTGTGGAAAAGTTAGAAAGCAGAAAACAATAAAGTGGCAAAAAACAGATAAAATGGCACTCTTAAAAAATAATATTAATATTTTGACATACATAGTTGGGAGTTTTCCTGTAGTTTTGTGTGTGTGTGCGCGTGTGTGTGTGTGGTATGTAATGCATATTCTAGTTGTGTATTGTATAACCCATAGGGATTTGCACTGTGAACCCCAAAGTCTGACCCCTCTGCTAGTTCAGATCCACCAGCTCCTTTGCAGGAGGAAGATGGGTAGTCTCTTCCTGTGCTGTTTACAGCCTCTGAAAACTTGCTGGAGGGTCAGCTATGAATCAGTTGTGACTCCAAGGCAATGAGTTCTTTCAGTTGTATGATGTACTAAAACAAAACAGGAGCTGTACTATACACAGGGGTTTTTCCATTTCATTTTTATTTATCTTGAAATCTTTCTACATCAAGAAATCTGCATCTCTGTCACTTTTC